CTCTAGGATTTTGATTACATGCTTGTAGAAATCTAAACCAATCTTGTATTCTTTGATTACTACCTTGAATCCAAGCAATGTTATCTCTAATTCTTTTAATATGACCTGACATTGATTTTAAACCGGACTTTACTATTAAATTAATTATATGACATGCACAACGTTGGTGGAAAATATCATTATTACTAAATAAACTTAAATCATTTTCAAAAAGTTCTATTGCTTTAGTATTCGCAGTTGCATTATCTAATGTTATGGCCATTATTCTATCTCTTAAACTATATTCATCAATAATAGATAAAATTGTGTTATATATTAAATTGGCAGTATGTGATCCTATAACACATTTGAAACCTAAGATTCTCTTATCCAAATGAAAACCTTTCTAATAATGTCCGGTTACAGCTAAATAATCCTTATTGGCAACGGCGGACCAAATATCCGCCGTTAACGCAACGCAACCACTAGTAGAGTGTAGAAGGTTGATTAATGCTTCCTTTTCTTGTTTATATAATTTTTATGCATCTTTCCTAAGAGTAGTTCTAGAAAAAAATTGTGCATTAGGATTATGTACAATTTTAATATAACGTTGTCAATTTCTTTGTTCAGGAAAACTTAGTGGTTGATCTAATGTGGCTATTAATCGTGCTATTTCCATACGATCAACTTGCAGATCGTATTTCTACGTGCTTAGACCGCCGGTTTGGCGATCAAACGATAATTGTGTTTGGCGGAGTTGATCTCCGCCTCCTTGCTTTTGAAGACACTTTTCAAAGTGCCTTCTTAAGTGTGTAGTGCCGTGAATAGTGTTACCTTGTAATTTCTCACCACAATATTTACATTGAGCTACATATTTAATGTTACCGTTATTATCGACATCATCGAATGTGTTGAAGTGCTCCCAAACTGCTGAGGTGCGCTTACATTTCTTCTTAGAACTTGCAACACTTGCACTAGCACTACCACTTGCCTCTCCTCCACGGCCACTTGTGCCACCACCATTGCGTCCCCGACCTCTAGTACGTCCACCAGGGGTCGGATTTGTAGTTTGATCAGCATCTCTTTCCATAGTTTGCGATTCCTGCGATTGAAAAACATTAGGAAATTGCCCTTCTTCGATGTTGAATTGGGCATCAA